TTTGTACAAGACAAAGCCTCAATTGGAGTTCCAGTGCCATCTGTGACAGGTGGCTTATCACCAGGCTAGTATTATATTTCATACATTACATGTAGATTAACAGGCAGCGAGAGTGTTATTAAATATTAATCTACAGTGAATGATCAATATAAACAACAAAATAAAACATAGCTACCGTGTCAGATTTCCCAACAATAAATGGCCAGTTGGTTCATATTGTACGATGTATGTATGTGTAGTAATATATCAAACATTGTTCCAAATTTGAACATTTATGTGTACATGACTTATTAATCAGATATTGTAATATTATGTAGTCTCTATCATCCAGAAAAATATTCTACGAATATTAGTCTGGACAGGTTGTCAACATTTGAGAAAAATTGGCTAGATAATCCAGTCTTTCACATTATCATAAACAATGTCTAAGGGAGGTAACTCCTCTTAAAACAAGATGTTTACGCCCATGAAATTAATTTAAGAATGTCATTTAAAAAAAAAACCATTTGATTGCATGCGAGTTCAATACCTAACACTCTTAATTTTTTATTGTAAAATTTCTCTCTTCATGGGCCATATCTATGCTTTTAAAATTAATCCTAATTCGTCGTCACGATTCATGTTTGTTTATATTAATGCAAGAATTATGGGATTTTTTGTGGGAAGGGGCGCAACTCTTACTTGACTTGGCTAAAGAGACTGGATAATCAACCACATTAAAAACCAAACTCCCGGTTACGCATGAGCAATGGACTTCACGTCAAATATTGACAACCTTCCCAGACCCTCCGTATGTTGAAGACTAGGAGGTTCTGGGTGACCGAGACTAAATATTATGTAGATTAAATCAAATGGTTACCTCTGGGGTTTCCCCTGTCTATTGCTCTTTCCACATGAAGTTGGGAATTGACCATACACTGAGCTATGGGGGAATTTTGCCAGTATAGCTGCGGTTAAGCCTACTGTACAACCAATTCTGACTGCCAGTTACATACATGCCAATGTTCACATGGGCCGTTTTTTGTTGCCATGGACCAGGTAGATGCTGTTCGCTGCCAGACCTTTTATCCAACCCCATCACGCTACACAATCCAGATGAACCTCTTCTACCAAGACGTGGATCAAATACTGGACCTTCCAGTTAGTGAGCCCAGGCCTTACTGAGCTACATGTACTGTTGCTTTCCCGGAATATTAAATGGCCACCTCTTGGGATTTGAAAATCGTTACTAAATGAACACCAAATACCTGGTTAATTTCCCATTAATTAGAACATTAGATATTTTTAGAAATATATCACTAGCTATGTGAAATTAATTTAATAATTTCCCCATATCGTCCAGCAAAAGCCTGTTCAGATGTTGATATATAGAAGGGAAGTAACTAGTTCAATGTACATGTATGGAGGCAGCCCACCAAATATTCTCTCATAGAAATCAATGTAAATTGTTGTTTTTTTTACTAAGCTCTAATAGGCCTACTTTCTCAAATTTACACTAGGAGACAGAACAACATTTGGTAATGTCTTAATCCAAGGCTTCTATAAGGTTGACCATGGAATTTTTTTAGATACATGTACCGTACACAGATAAGGGGAAGTTATTGGTGGTCTTCATTTGTATACTGGTACATGACTGACAATGATGGCACATACATGTAAACATAAAATCCAAGGAAATCTACAATTTTATTCTTATAAAATAAAAGAGGATAAGATACATGTATATCAAAATCTACAAAGTTCCCAGAGAACATTATCAACTGATTTTACTTTATGCTTGAATTGAGAGTCATATTAGTCAGTGTCAACAACTCTGGAAATCTTTGCACAGGTTGGATCAGTTTTAATTCATGATGCTCAGTAAATTTTAAAGTAGCTAAGTCTCTAACTCAATATCATCAAAAATCTTCGACATTGAAAACACGAATTATTTGTCAATTCAAATTAACATTGGACTTGTGATCTTACAGGGAAAAGATGAGCTTCTGACATCCAATAATCAAGACAACATAAACATTTTACCATTGGTACACGAATCGTGTACAATAATGCGTTTCAGCGCCATTTAATCGTGTACCATAATGCGTTTCAGCACCATTTGGAACAAGGGACTCGAAGAACAGGGCTAGACATATTCCACAAGTCAAGTCAAATGTGTTTCGCGATATTCTTATCTGGAGAGCATGCGCAATAAATACCATCGATGTAGACTGGAAAAACCAGACGCTAAAGATTGCCATTCACATGAGACTTCTGGCGTATTTCGCCGAAATGAAATGAAATGGGGTTTAATGTCCTACTGTTCTGCTCCTAAACTGGCCTAATGAAGAAGGGCATACGCCATACAGTTGTGCTATGAGGGAAATTTTGCCTGGGCAGTGATGCTACGGCCTACTCTTATATCGAATTCCAACTGTCAAGGGATCTTTTACGTGCACGCCAATATGTACACGGGACCTCGGTTTTTTGTCCCATCCGACAACTAGACAGCTGTCCTTGTCAGGCCCTCCGCCCTGCATCACTGACAAGGGGAAACCATGCCGGAAAATCTGGATGAACTTTCTTGGCCAATGCAGGGATCGTATTTCGCCGAACATAACTGATTAGAAATTATAGTAAAAACAGAAACGATTGCATGTAAATCAGTTTATATACATTCATATTACATTATTATATGCGATGCGACCCATTTTTGTCAATTTCTTGGTCACAAATATTAGCGATTTAGCTCCTTTAAGCAGAAAGACTCAGACAGCTATAACATGTTATCACAATCTTGGTTATTCTAAAATCTGAACCAGCAGTTTCAAATTCTCTGATGTAAATGTAGGATAGTAAATGGATTATCAGTACATTATCCTAAATTTTTAGAAATTTCTTCATTAGCAAGCAACTCATTTATTGTATGCATGTACTATGTATATGTAACTTAAGGAAATGGTTACTAATTTAGTAATATTACATATATATATATATATAAATAAAGGAAAAGTAGATAATTTCTCAACTGTCCAAATTATCTATAATCACAAGAGTCTATTACCTGAACAACCAGGTGTTAATGAATTGATTGGTTGTAACTTCTTCCTTTGTTTTGATGACAGTAATTATGTGAGACATGCAGAAACTTGTGATTAATATAATAGTAGAAATATACATATCGAATATTAATCTTTGCATCCTGTATAGATCATAAAGGTGTTAACTGTCGTACCGTAACTAGCAATGGGATATGAATTGATTTGTTTTAAGTTTTCCATTGTTTTGATTATAGTAATTATGTGAAATATTTAGAAACTTGTGATACATGTATTTGTAGAGACATGTCTCCGCAATGTAAATGTAGGATAGTAAATGGATTATCAGTACATTATCCTAAATTTTTAGAAATTTCTTCATTAGCAAGCATCTCATTTATTGTATGCATGTACTATGTATATGTAACTTAAGGAAATGGTTACTAATTTAGTAATATTACATATATATATATATAAAGGAAAAGTAGATAATTTCTCAACTGTCCAAATTATCTATAATCACAAGAGTCTATTACCTGAACAACCAGGTGTTAATGAATTGATTGGTTGTAACTTCTTCCTTTGTTTTGATGACAGTAATTATGTGAGACATGCAGAAACTTGTGATTAATATAATAGTAGAAATATACATATCGAATATTAATCTTTGCATCCTGTATAGATCATAAAGGTGTTAACTGTCGTACCGTAACTAGCAATGGGATATGAATTGATTTGTTTTAAGTTTTCCATTGTTTTGATTATAGTAATTATGTGAAATATTTAGAAACTTGTGATACATGTATTTGTAGAGACATGTCTCCGCAATCTGTCTCACAGTTTCAAAGTCACTGATTAAATTACAATAAGAATAATTTCTATTAATTCTCATAAACATTAATCATTTATCTATTAATATTTATGAACTCAAATGTGAAATACTTGGTATCAAACAAGTAATACATAAATTTGATTAAAATCAGAAAGATTAAGAACGGTAATATTGAGGGATTTAGGCAGATTTAGGTGGATTTGGATAGATCATACCACCATGGATTTTACAATCTTGCTGTAATCTACAAAATTGATTGTTTTGTCCTTTGACTCATAAATTCATATGGTGTATAAAATCGTAGAGTTGCTCTGTCAATGTATTTTTCTCTCAGAATTTCTGAAAGGGATGTGTTTTAAGGCAAGCTAAAGTGATTCTGTGATGTATTCAGGTGACAAATTAACTTACAATTACTCTATCAGTCTCTGGTATTTTAATCTAGTCTGCAATACATCTAATACAATGTAAGTTTTAGTCCGTCGTCTGCGACCACTCTTAGTCACCATGCGCTTTATATATACGCTTAGCGCATGCGCACTCAAAGTGGTACTTGCGTTTCGGCAAACCATAAATGTTATTGTATTTAGGCGTTCCATGAATACAGCTGAGCTTGGGCGAGTCAAACCCACTCTGAATAGTAGAAAAGCATTACTTTTTCTCATGTCACAGATCACAAGGCAGCGATCTGAAACTTACCAGTGGAGAGGTACTTTTTAAAATCTACCTGCATTAATACGTGTACTTGCACATTGTGATTTCATTACTATGGTAACTCATCTCAATTATGTTGTATACATGTAATAATGTCTGAAGGACTCTGTTTTGCCTGTTTTTGCAGAATCCAACCAACTAAAAAAAAATATAAGTATAAGCCACAGCCCAGTGCCAGTACTACTAAAACTACTATAATTCAAAATACATCCTGCATCCAGATCCAGTAGCAACGTTTTTGATAGTAAATTAGACCAAACAATGTATAATAAATACATGCTGATGCTACACATACAAGATAAAACTGGTTTTCAACTGCTCTACGAATAAAAACAAAACATTTGTTTGTCTGCATAAAATCAAAATATTATGACTCAAGTCACTGTCTCATCAAGCAAAGCAGTATTGCTGTAAAAAGTGATGGAGACGAGCATACTCACCACTCTGTTCGCCTAAAAATACAAGTTTAAACTTTCGTAGAGGATTTCCAAACTCGCCGGAGGAACTCATTTTGATTAATGGAATATATAAACTATGTTATTGTGTTTCTCTGTTTTGACAGATCCAAAGTATGAGCCTAGGCAGTCACACCAAACAGACTTTTTCTGGCTATAGTCGCCACGTTCAGAGCCTCAATATCGTCTGCTCATGCGTGAATTACCGGAAGTGGAACAAGTGCGTGGAATTTGATTGGATGAGTGACTTTGATGGCTGACTTGATATGTCAATGACACTACAGAGGACTGTCTGCTAAAATTTGTAGTCAATTTTGATAGTGGAGGTTTACCTCAGTTTTATATTTAGAAATTTGGTCACATTGTAATGACAACCTGCAAAGAAACCAATTCCCAACTTTTCAATTGGTACACTTCTTTTTTTTTCTTTGTTTTTGGCAACGAGAAAGGGCAACGAACTTATTCTGTACTTTTTTTTATTTATTTTGATTTGTGTTTGATAACTGTTTGTTTGTCTTTTCAGTTAGCAGCAAACTATTAATATAGTCTGTTGTCATAAAAGTTATATATTTCACTTTTGTCAACTTCAAGTTAAGTTTTTTTTTTCCAGAACAAAATATCTCTGATGTTTCAATATCTTGCTTCTATTCTAGTTCTAATTAAGTTGTTCCAGGGCCAATGAAATACAATTAAACAATACATTGAAGTATGAACAAGGCTTAATTGTTTTGATGGAGGAAAATACAATTAATTAGGAATCATTAGGATAAGTTTGAAATAAAGTTTTAGGTAACTGTCCTGATTGGCAGAAAAATCACATTTTTAGCTTGTGGACACTCTAGAGGTCACAATTTTTATACTATTTTAATGGAACTTGTCATTGAAATGTGCAGATTATAACCCAAAGATCTCAGTTGCTTATATTCCAGCATATATATCGGAACGTAAATTCCAGGATTATGGCTCCTGATTGTTCTAAAAATCATGTTTTTAGGTTGTGCCTCTACAGGTCACAATTTTTATCCGATTTAAAAAATATAGTGTTTAAAAAGTATGTAAAACCAAGGTTGTGTAGACCTCGTAGAGGTCATAATTTTTATCCGATTTTGATGAAACTTAAAATATATCTTTTTATCCTGTGACCTGTCGATATTCGCCAATATCGAACCGTAACTTCCTGGATTCTGGCCCCTAGTGTTTCTAAAATTCCAACTGCCAAGGGGTTTTTTTTGTCACATCCAATCAACTAGATGCTGTTCCTTGCCAGGCCTTCGATCTTCCTTCTCATGGACAAAGGGGGAAACCATGCTTGGAATCAAATTACGAATTGTTGAATTAAAATAGAATAAAATATGATCTGTACCATGCTATCATTGATTTATAGGAAATCTGTGATGAGTTTGCTGAGGAAAACCAATAATAAACTTTAAAGTGAGTTAATCAATCATTACTTAAAAAAAATTTCTGAATATTTTAATAAAAACATCCATGAAAAGTTTTTATACGCCCACATTTTCATGTGGATGTATATTGTCGTTGCCCCTGTTTGTGGACACCCTACAATCCATAATTTTTATCCTATTTTGACAAAAATTAAAACGTAGGTTTATATCCCACATATCTCAGTTCCTTTTGATAATGGCATATATTATATATTGGATCGTAACTTCATGGATTATGGCCCCTGATTGTACGAAAAATCACATTTTTAGTTTGTGGACACTCTAGAGGTCACAATTTTTATCCGATTTTGATGAAACTTGAAATACATGTTTATAACCCAATAATCTCGCTACCTTTGGATATTTTCGATTATGGACTGTAACATCCTGGGTTATGGCATATGATTTTACTAAAAATTGCATTTTTAGCATGTGGTCCCTCTAAAGGTCACAATTGAAAGTTTGAAATAAAGTTTTAGGTTTGGACAGCAGTATATTGTCATTGCCTTGATCCATCCAGACATCCACATTTTGTGGACACTCTACAGTTCACAAATTTTATCTGATTTTGACAAAACTTGAAATATAAGTTTATCTCCAAAAGATCTAGTTTCATTTCAATGTTGGCTTTTGGGATGTATTGGACCATAACTGCCTGTGATTGTGAGAAAAATCACATTTTAAGCTTGTGGACACTCTAAAGCCCTAGAGGTCACTATTTTTATACTATTTTGATGAAACTTGAAATGTGTGGTTATAACCCAAAGATCTCAGTTTCTATTGGTATTCAAGCATATATATCGGACTGTAACTTCCTGGATTATGGCCCCTGATTGTACTAAAATCATGTTTTTAGATTGTGGTCCCTCTAGATGTCACAATTTTTATCCTATTTAAAAATATATGTTTGAATATACCACAGCTACTCCAGAACCATGGTTGTGTTCATATTTTGTGAAAAAAGGATCTTAACTGCCTGACAAAATGCCTGCTCCTTGTGCGCAAATAGTGTAAAAGTATGTAATACTGTAGAGGTCAAAATTTTTATCCGATTTTGATGAAACTTAAAATATATGTCCATATCCCAAAGATCTTGGTTCCTGTCGATATTCACCAATATCGGAAAATAACTTCCTGGATTCTTGCCCCTAGTCTTCCTAAAATTCCAACTGCCAAGGGTTCTTTTCACACCCAAACACTAGATGCTATTCCTTGCCAGGCCTTTGATCTTCCTACACAGGGACAAAGGGGGAAACCATGCTTGGAATCAAACTACGAATTGTTGAATTAAAATAGAATAAAATATGATCTGTACCATGCTATCATTGATTTATAGGAAATCTGTGATGAGTTTGCTGAGGAAAACCAATAATAAACTTTAACGTGAGTTGATCAATCATTACTTAAAAAACATTTTCTGAATATTTTAATAAAATGAAATGGGGTTTAATGCCTTACTTTCTGCACCAACCGACCTTATGAAAATGGGGGGGGGGGGGGAATGGGAGAGATGTCACGCAAGTCGGACATAAGGTACACATCCCACATTTTTAGTAATCACAATGATCCACATCTTGTTTAGGTGTTCGTGAAAATTTCTATTTTTGATTTGTGGATCGATGCTTGTACCAAAGAGTGAATATTGTTTTAACCGATAACGCCAACCATACATGTACTTTAAACTAAACCAATGAGTGAATGGGCCTGTTGGAAAAATACAGGTATGTCTTTTCCATTATATTTGTTAATTAATTTTTAAAAAGAAAATCTTAAATGAAATTTTTTTAAAAGTTTTTGTTAGAAATATTTCAGTGAAATTATTGGTAGTTTTAAGATTTGATGGTAATAGTGGTTAATCTCTTTTTATGTTGGAGTATAATATTGTCATTGTCCGTTCACAGTTCTTGTAAAGGGCCCTAATGGTCAGGGTTTAGCCTTTATTGATTATTCTTATTTTAAAACAGAGTTATTGCCCCTTTCATCAAAACCTTGTAAATGCTCTAGTTTTTTCAGAAGTTTTTTGAGATTTAAATGTTTCCAACTTGCTGGGATTGTTTGCTAGTCATGGTGGGATCGTGTGATCATTTCTTTGACTGAGCAACATCCTGTGACGTCTTTGCTGCCTTCCTTCACAAGTTGCTGGTGGACTTATTTTTGTTGGCAATGCTATGTTTTTCTCTCATTTCAGTGAAATTTTGAAGCTGCCATACTAGTTGGCATATAGATGAAATAGAACATAGTATTCTTGGTTGCCATAGAAATGGAGTTAACACATGGTCAACTCTACCATGCAGCCGAGGATAATAACTTGGAGAGATTTCGTGAATTAATCCAGATGGGTGCAGATATCGAAGAAACGTACGAGGATCACAAGAATATTATCACAAAATCTATTTTACATGTCTGCTGTGGTAAAGGGCGGCTAGAAATGATTAATCTCCTGCTGGATGCTGGAGCCTATATTTCTGTTTGCGACAAATTTGGTCAGACCCCTTTAATGTATTGCGTAATGACCCAGTTTATAGAAATTGGAGAAATTTTATTGGAGAGAGATCCAACCATAGTGAATGATCAAGACCGGTTTGGTAAATCTGCATTGCATATTGCTGCTGACAATGGACTGGTCGATTGTGTAAAAATGCTGTTATCTCATGGAGCATTTGTAGACATTCAAAGTAGCGAGGGTTACACCCCCTTAATGGTTTGTTGTTATTGTAAAGCAGACCCTGAGTCTGTGCTCTGTATTATTAAAATGTTACTTGACGTCGGAGCTGATGTTAATATAATGGAAATAAGCAGCAGAACGGCTCTTCAGGTTGAACCATATTCTCAGAGCATGAAGCCTTTATAATATCCTCATCAACAACATCCTCATCAACAACATTCCCAACCTACGTTGTCTTCTGTCATACCAGTTAACTTCCTTATAGGATCATGTAGAAATGCTTAAGGTAGGCCTACATTGATTCATGATATCGTGGTGGGAAGTTAAAGGTCATATCTAGCATATTAAATACAAAACTTACTTCTTTGTTTTTTTCAGAATCAGCATTTTCTTGCACATCTTTTCACTTAGTTGTCATATTTCTAAGCCAATAAATATTAATGTTATTTGAGGTATGGATATAAATTCCGTGCAAACTTCAATATTGTGATAGTTGAATCCAAAAACAGAGACTTTATAAGCAAAAATGATGTAGTTAACAAAATAAAAATTTATTAATGCATTACAACCAAACCGAAAGTGGTCGATATTGTATGAATACGACAATTTGATTGGATGTATTTGTACGATATAATAATTCTTAAACTGTTACACATTTCTATACTCTCCTGTATTATTTGGCAAAGCCGGGATATGACCTTTTGACCCCTCATCCACGATATGCATGTATATCATAATTGGAATAAAATATAAAGGTGACACTAAGGCTTTTCTATGAATATTTTTAACGACCTGAAACTCTCAGTCAACATATTCTAATAACTTTATATCTTTACCTTGTTAAATCTCTAACTCCTTATTTTCCATGATATTAGAAATTTAAAATACAAATTAGAATTCCATATTGGTCTATTTCAATCAATATTGATGTTTTTATCTTGCCGTGAAAATATGGGATCCCAATATCCAAAATTTAAAATCAGTACGCGGGTCGTATACTCTATCCTATAAGACAATGCGGAAGTAATTAGTAATGGCTGATGTACAAACATTTTAAGTGTATTTCACCGAACCTAATTGATTAGAAATTACAAAAAAATTTTTAATAGTTGAATATAAATCACTTTATATACATTCATATTACATTAATATGTGCTTTTAGACTCATTTAAGATTCTGAATATTTAGAGCCATACACCCTTTAACGTACACAGTCACTGTGATTTCAAAAAGCCCATACATGTATCTATGCTGAGAACGCAAAAGTAAGCATCCATCTCTATTGTCGACTTTGAAAAACA